CAAAAGATTGTTAAACTCTAAGTTTGACATGAAGGATATGGGATTCCTCACGAATTATTTTCATTTAGTGACGAATTTTATTTTCTTCACTAGTTTTCGTCACCATAGGTTACTTTTGTTGTAGTGACTTAAGTCTATATTTGACCAAGAATAATGGTGGGAGTGTCTCTCAACTAGAATATTCTCGGGTCATTGGGAGTTTGATGTATTTGATGAGTTGTACAAGGCCGGATATTGCCTATGTTATTAGTAGGCTGAGTAGATACACGAGTAATCCTAATGCTACTCATTGGAAGGGCATTATGCGGGTGTTGGGGGATATCCGTTACACCCTGGATTATGGGCTGCATTATACTAGATACCCAGCGGTACTAGAAGGGTATAGTGACGCAAATTGGATATCTGATATAAAAGTTTCCAAATCCACTAGTGGTTATGTGTTTACCCTCGGAGGGGCAGTCGTGTCTTGGAAATCTGCCAAGCAAACGTGTATCTCGAGATCAATGATGGAATTTGAGTTTATTGCTTTAGATAAAGCAACTGAAGAAGCTTAATGGCTTCGCCAGTTTGTTGAGGATATTCCACGTTGGCCGAAACCTGTGCCAGCTATCAGTATTCATTGCGATAGCTAATCAGCGATTGGCAGGGCACAGAGTAATATGTATAATGGAAAGTCTAGACATATCCGTCGTAGACATAATTCCATATGACAACTACTCTCAAATGGAATTGTCTCTCTAGACTATGTCAAGTCTAAGGACAACATTGCGGATCCGCTAACTAAAGGGTTAACTCGAGAGTTAGTAGAAAAGTCGTCAAGAGGAATGGGGTTAAGGCCTTTAGTAAAGGTTACCGGAACGGAAAACCCAACCTAGTTGACTGGAGATCCCAAGATCTAGGTTCAAAGGGACAACCTAACTTCGTGTAACGGGTGAGTCACTGAAGAGGTAAATCCTCTTGCCCATTCCTTTATACAGTGATGCCCTGTGGGGGTGGAAGGTTAAGCTAATGCTTTTAATAACCTTAGTGATGTGGTATAATGAAATACCGTATCTAGGTCACCTATGTCAGTGCGAAGTGGGGCCGCTTCTTTAAGAATTGCCAAGGCCGAATTCTTTAAAAACACTTACAGAACTAGGCTAGTGTTCCAGGGCCATACTGGACACACCAGTGAGAACAAGAACAATGGTTGGACTAACTCCGGTGTGAGGTCTATTGTCTCAGTTTACAAAAACGGCAGAACAGTTCAAGACATCACGTTCACTGGTCAGCCAGTAAATCCAATAGGCTTTCACTACGAAAGGTTCAAGGCCAACAGCTACCTTTTCTGATGCAGGGTTAGTCTATGTGCTCTCTCTCTTTCCGAGTCTTTGTTGATAAACGTTGAGCGTTTGCTGTATTCAGTCAATTTTTATTCATGTGGGGGATTGTTGGAGAAAAATGGTTGAATAAAAAATTGCCTCATAAATGTGTATATAACTCACACATTTAAGGCTCATCAATGTTACAAAATTGATTGGGCATTTTTGCTAGCATTAGTTACCAGCCTTGATGACTAGAGGCTCCTCCCTTCTTCCATATGGTGTATAAAAGGAGGCCCTATTCCTTGAAAAGAGATATAGAATTTTTTCTTGACATCCATACACTATCAGTCTACTTCTCCTATAATTTTCTACCTGAGAGAGTGTGCTGCCGTTGTCCGTTCGCTAAGCTAATCAGAAGGTGCTTCTGTTGTAGCTGGTAAAAACCGTCGTATCCTAGGAAGTAGACGCCGGCGTACCTCCAGCACCCAACGGTGAGGCAGTGAATCTATTTTAAGGAGACTGTGGTATCACACAGGTTTCGGTTTGCTTCCTTTAACCATTTTATATTTTATCTGTATTTTATTCAGCATGTTATTTTTCCTGGGATTGAAGGTTTGTTTTGTTCATCTCATAATTTTGCGATATGCAATGTGAAATTATGTAATGTGAGTAGTTTTTCCCAACAACTATGGGTACTTGCGGTTTGGCGGTTTGGTTGCGGCAAAAGAAATCTCAAATTCATCATCCGTCCAAAATTATTGAAAAAAAATCAATTCGCAATCGTTCGCTCGTCGTCACACATTCATCCAAAATACGGTGAATTGGATTGGTTCGATCGATTTGAATGCATCGAAATATTCGCTATTTACCCGTAATATATATCATAGAATTTCCGAGATAATTAATGCAGCTTTATGATAGATATTCACGCCTGAAAATGAGAGTAGATGATGATTGACTCTTGAAAAAAAATTCGATGCAATAGTTTTAAAGTAAAATCCTTATCATATATACATATACAGTTTAAACGTAGAAAATTAAACGGGAAATAACAATTCAGTGTAAAATTAAAATATATATACATATATATATATTTTACACATCAATGGTGAAGTTTATAACATTAATAATTAAAATTCTAAACTTGTTCATGTATTTATAAATATTTTTTTTCAAACGTTCACTAGGCTATAATTTCTCCAAAATTAAATTATAGTTACACAAAATTAAAACATAAAAATATATAGAAAGTATAATGTATGACCGAGATTCACCTTGAGTTTGATGTGAGTTATACTTAAAATAAATTTTAATCACATAATGCACTTTTTGTATTTAATTATTTATTTTTTTTGGATTTTAATTTGATACATATAACAATGTTTACCTAGAAATCTTCCATGGCTCCAAAATTTCGTCTGACAATAATACCACTGGAGAGGCTCAAAAGACTCCTAGATTGTTACATGGACTCTTTTATTTCCCTTACAATATCTGCGCCTACTGGATATGACATGGATAAAGATGTGGGATATGTGTCCGACACTCGTGTCTAATTTAGACACTTGGATCCTTTAATTTGTTATAATACATGAGAAGAAAAAAAGTCTCATTTACTAGTAAAGCAATATTTTTAGTCTCTTACATTTAGATATACAAATTTCATATTTTTTCTTGAATCCTATTCAATTTCAAGTATATTTCTATATAATTTACAATATTTTATCTTAGAATACTATATAATATGTAATATATATGTATATAACACGTTTTCACGCCCATATCCAATTTTGGATACATATTCCAAACTTTTAAAATTTAAATTTATAAAAGTTTAACGTTGGGATACACACCCACACTCGATACTCATACCTAAATTCATTTAATAAACAAAAGTACATTGAAAAGGTTTCATACTAAGACAAATGTTTAGTAGCTCGAATTTGTGTTGCTCGAATGACTCAAATATATCAAAATGACATCGTTTTGATATATTCAAGCCAATTGGGTCAAGAAAATTCGGATTATTAAACATTGTTATCATACGAAATCCTGTTGACTGTTGTGCTCCGATTAGTGTTTTGGGATTACAAAGGGCCAACCCAAATAGATGTGGGCCATTTTGGTCAATTGGTATTACATTTTGCGGAAATAACAAAACAGTGGTCACAGAAAAAAAATATAATATAATATTTTAATTATTAAAGTGTATAAATTTTTTCACCAAATTATAATTTTTTTTACTGTTACATTGTGATGTAATTTCTCCTTATATTTTAGGAGAAATTATTTAGTATTTTGGAGTAAGTTGATACTGTACACCAATAATTTGATAGTTATTAATTTAGACATGAGGATCTTTTATTTTTATTTGAGTGTTTTAAAAGATAATATAAAATGTGTCAATCGATAATTAGTGTAGAGTATTATACAAGAATACTTAATTATTTTATTATCTTTTAAATGTATTTATCATTCGTTTTGGATCAAAATCCTCTCTATCACGGACTTGGGCTGCTGTTGTGCCCCTTTGTGGGAGTTTGTCCCAAATGTTTTTCGATAATTTCAACCGTTCTTATTGTAGGGCTCGTCAAAAATATTATTCATATAAAAAATCAAGTTAATCGGATATTCATAACCCCATGATTAAGTCTTAATTGTTTTTAAAAATTTATGAAAGTTATGTTAACTGTTAATTTTTATAAAAACAAATGTAGTTTGATTATAGGGCTGCAGATATCCACTTAACTTAATTTTTTATATGAATGATTTACTCGATGAATTTTATAATATGAACAATTTCAAATTATCGAAAGAAATTTGAGATAACACTTCACAAGAGAACACAACAGTCTGTTATGCCCAAAGGTATAGCAGGATCCCCAAATCCCTCTATCACATAGTTAGAATGGAGAGATCCATTACATACACAACGGGTAGCTGTCTTTTAATTTATTTGTCTTTCGTTTGAATCTCAAGATTTATAATAGCTGAGAATGTATAGAAAGAAAGAAATAAAAAAGAAAAGTAGGAAAAAAAAAATTAAGGAATCATACGTTTAGGTTCTATTAAGTGGACTTATTGTCCAATAGGTTTTATGAAAATTAATGACGTTTTTCACTAAATACTATTAAAAGACGTCATTAATTAGTTTCTGTAATAGTTTGAAAATTTTGTTACAAAAATGTTACTAATTATAAATTTTAGTGACGATTTAAAAAATTGTCACAAAAAAATTCACTAATTTTTAACTTTTAGCGTCAGTTTGAAAAATTTGTCATAGAAAAACATTACAATTATAAGTTTTAATGGCAATTTATAAAAATCGTAACAAAAAAAAGTCATTAACTTTCAATTTTTAGTGACATATGTAAAAAAATCGTCATAAAATTATTTTTGGTGAAGATTTTATTATGACTTATTTTCAATAAGATTTGATGAGAATTAAGGCCAACTACTAAAACCTATTGCTAGTTTACCAAAAACATAAAAAATAAAGACAAGATCATATGGCAAGAAACATGTGCTTGAGGGGCAAGGGAGCTTTAGTGTAACGGACATTCTTAATCAACTTCCCCCTTCCAATGAGAAAAGCACAGCCCCATAGCCCCACCATTGTAAGTCACTCACCTTTTTGGATCTCTATAAATCCTTACCCCCCTTTCGTCCTCACCATCCTCACTGTCCTCTCTATTGCCAAAATATTAGACTCCTCTCTCTCTCTCTCTCTCTCTCTCTCAACATGTCTGCTCAAGTGATGCCCGAGCAAACCCTTCAGGGAATTCATGTGATGAGCCGAGAAAATACCTCTCTCACCCCTAAAAGGTTATCTTTACTTGACTTTTTTTTAATCTATATTTATTTTTTTCAAATCTATTTACTCGTTTTTAAGAATGTGGATGTGTGGTTGCTGGGATATATTTGATACATTGAGTTAAGATTATTGCAATGTTGCATATGCAATCCCCACCATTTCTAGGTTTACATTTCGTAGAGTGCATGAGGCATGGCATCCCATTTGGGTTTTGCTAAAAATATATCTTTTTTTTTTTTTTTTAAATTTTTGGGCGGGGTAGGGGAGGGTTTTACATACTGTGGAATGAAATTTACGTGGTTCAGTTATGGTGGCTTACATCAACATAGTACTATTTCATTCACTCAAATGAATATACATGAATACAATCATAGTTTCTTGCCAAATTGTGATGAAGTTTCCTTTTTCCTTATTAACTTGTTTTATTCCTCTATTTTGGGTTAATAGAATTTTCTTTTTTGAAAATAAAGAAGAAGAAGAAGAAGAAGAAGAAGAAGAAGAAGAAGAAGAATACAATCATATTTATAGACCTTAGAGATAGAAAGAAGATTATTCATATATATACTATCTCCTCCTAAGTATTATCCTTGTCTATTAATCTCTAGAGATAAGATTAGTATTTTAGATTTTAACTCTAACAAATTCAATGCTGGTCTCTAAAGTATTTATTTTGGTCTCTAATAATTTAAATTGTATCAATTTGATTTTCAACTTATCCAATTCATGTTTGAATAGTTTTGAGAACAGTTTCTGTCCAAAATTTGAATAAAATATCCTAGTTAAACGACACTGGGATAATTTAAACACAAATTAAATAAGTTGGGGACCAACTTAATATAATTAAAATATTAAGGATCAAAATGTCATAACGTGCATATTTTGGGGACCAACAACGTATTTAATTTAAGGAAAATTTACTCAAAAGCCCTCCATTGAACCGTTGTTTGGTGAAAATGACAGCGCAATTTATTTTTCCTCATAAACCCCTTAAGGAGAAAACAAATAATTGAGTAAGGACAAAATAAAATATATATATATATATATTCTTGGACAATATTGTCAAAATAACATGTTACTGTCAAATAAAGTAATTGTCAAACAGATTAACATGTTACTGTCAAACAAAGTAACATGTTACTGTTACACTACAACATATAAGAGTTTTAAAAATCAAATATTTTAGTCTCTAAAAGTGAAAATTTTGTTTCATGAAGATAGTCGCTAAAAAATCTTTTCAAAAAGTCAAAAACAAGGCTTTTAGGGACAAAATTTTGAAAATGTCACTAATAAATAGACTTTTAAGGACAAAATAATTTGGTCACAAAATAGTTTAATTTTTGAGACAAAAAATTTGGTCGCAAAAGGATAATAATTCATCACTAATGTTCAATTTTCATTGCTAGAAATATAATAATGACACTTTTTGTAACAAAAATATTTGGTTCTTAAAAAATAATTTTGTCCCTAAATTTCAGTCTCTAAAACCTTAATTTTTTGTAGTGTTACTGTTTACATCAATTTCAACGGTAATATATATATATATATTAAGAATTTCACAATCAACATAGATCTTATTTAATAGATCTTCATAAGAGAATTATAAAAATATTAATTTTATTAAAAATCGATATCTACATCAAAAGTTATATTATTTTAAAGACTAATATTTTGATAATAGTAATATTTGTTAAATTTTTCAATGAAACTTTTTATATTTGTCTTTAATGTATTAAAATTTTATTATACGGAAGTTTTGACCAAATCCCCCATAATTTAATAGGCTATTTGTTCATACTATTGACGCTTTTAAAGTCACTTTGATTGATTCCTCAAGAATCACAAATAACTTGGAAAACATTCCAAATTTAAGCTCTCATGCACTTTAGTATCTCAACTTGACGAATTTTTTTGATCAGCAAAATATAACTTGATGATAAACTAACAATAAACTATTCTATACATTTTCACAGGTTGGAAGGAAAAGTTGCAATTGTAACAGGCGGTGTTAGAGGGATTGGGGAGGCCACAGTGAGGCTCTTCATCAAACATGGAGCCAAAGTAGTCATTGCAGATGTTGAAGATGCCACTGGTACTGCCTTAGCCAACTCACTATGTCCCTCAGCAACCTATGTGCATTGTGATGTAAGCTCAGAAGAAGATGTCGAAAACCTGGTCAACTCAACAGTCTCCCTCTATGGTCACCTCGACATTCTTTGCAACAATGCTGGGGTTCTAGGAAACCAAGCAAAGAGGAAGAGTATCGTCAATTTTGACCCAGATGAGTTTGACCATGTCATGTGTGTCAACGTTAAAGGAGCTTGTCTTGGGATGCAACATGCGGCTCGAGTGATGGTTCCTAGAAGAAGTGGGTGCATAATTTCCATGGCTAGTGTAGCTGGTGTCATGGGAGGGCTTGGACCTCATGCTTACACAGCTTCAAAACATGCCATTGTGGGATTGACAAAGAATGTGGCATGTGAATTGGGAAGGTATGGGATTAGGGTTAATTGTGTTTCGCCTTTTGGGGTGGCCACTTCCATGCTTGTCAACGCGTGGCGGAGTTGCGAGGAAGATGAGGAAATGGTGGATTTAGGGTTGCCTCAAGAGGAAGAAGTGGAAAAAATGGAGGAAATAGTGAGAGGGTTGGCTAACCTAAAGGGTGCAACCCTAAGGGCTAAAGATATAGCTGAGGCTGCACTTTATCTAGCCAGTGATGAATCCAAGTATGTGAGTGGTCACAATCTTCTTGTTGATGGTGGGTTTACTACCTCAAATAATTGTGTAGGGCTGTAGTTAGGGAAGTAAGAAAATGAAAAAAGATGATCAAATTAATTGAATCGGATCAAATTGATTACATTTGATTTATTTTTTTTAATAAGAATTGGTCTGTGTAATTTTTTAATTTGATTTTTTTTTTTGATTTTCGGTTTATTATCGGTTCAAACACCTAGTGCACCAAATTAATCCGAAACCGACCATATTAACATATATTGTATTTAATAAATACATAATTTAATAACATAATGATATTAATAAGTATAATAAATTATTGTTCTTAATTAATTAACATTATCATCTCTATAACCTAAGTTTGTAAACTCTTATTATATATAATTTTAACTTTAACTCATTATTCTTGAAATCTTAGCATTTTTTAATTTTTTTTTGTTTGTTTGAAAAATATTTATTAAATAGATGGATTGTATATGTTTGAAATGGTATTCAATGTTTTTATATAAATTAGTGATTATAAAAAGTGGCTCAAGTTTGAAAGGTACTAAACAGATTGAATTGAACTGAACTGAGCCGTTTCAATTGTTTCGGTTTGGTACGGTTTGATAGGCAAAACGGCCTATATCGGTGCTCAAAATAATAAAATTGACATTATCAATTCAGTGAAATTTTGTACTTAAATACCAACCATACTGAACCAATTACAATCCCAAATTGTAGCAATGTGGCAGTGCCGCGCCCTCTGCATCTAACCATCGTTTTAAAGTTTTTTATTTGCAAAAGTATAAGATTAAAGAATTACTGACAAAAAGTATGTTAAATATTATATGAATTTAATTTTTTTTAAATTATTATAATTATATTAAATCTATAAGATATATTATAATTAACATACTATATAGCTAATATATTATATTTTTTTCAAACATTTAAAGATGTCACCGTAATTTACACAAAAATAAAATAAAATAACACGAGAATAACGTGTTTCACTTTACAATCACACTCCATCTTGCAAAAAGATACTTTGGTTGGATCAATGGGTACTTGTTTGGACTGTGGGGGCAACAATGATATTAATAAATATTGACGGATTGAATTCAATACATATGAAGAAATTGCCTCTAAATTGCAATCACTTAAAACGTAATATAACTAAATTAAGTTAATTAAAATTTTGTTTTTCACATATGAGGTTAAATAAAATTCTCAAATTTTTTTATTTTATTTTATTTATTTATTATTATTTTTTTTATAAAACATTTATTGATGAACAAATAACTCATTACATTAAGAAAGAAAAAGAGATGAGTGCAAAAAATATCACAGCGAGACATACCAATCCCAACTAGGTTGCCGCCAATATGCCTGCCAAATCCCTTGTTAGCACGTCATCAAGAGTTGGCGAGCAACCAACCAAAGCCAAGAAAAAAACAGTAATAAACTGTAGGAGAGGGTTCAAGAAAGGAGTTGGAAAATTCGAAGATCTTCAAAGATCCTTGAAGAACAACTTCGAATTCTCTAGAATATGATGAGAGGCTTAGATTCTTCAATAATCTCAACCTAGGAACACAACAATTTTGTTTTTCACATATGAGGTTAAATAAAATGCTCAAATTTTTTTATTTTATTTTATTTATTTATTATTATTTTTTTTATAAAACATTTATTGATGAACAAATAACTCATTACATTAAGAAAAGAAAAGAGATGAGTGCAAAAAATATCATAGTGAGACATACCAATCCTAACTAGGTTGGCACCAATATGTCTACCAAATCCCTTCTTAGCACATCATGAAGAGTTGGTGAGCAACCAACCAAAGCCAAGAAAAAAAACAGTAACAAACATATCAAACAACACCAAATCAGCACCAAAATACCAAAATCAAAACCAAAAATACCAAAAAAAAGCACCCAAAACAGCAATTAACAGCACCAAAATCAACACCAAAAATAGCTCTGTAGCACCAACTGGCAGCAGCAGCACCACCAACAATCAACAGCAACTGGCAACAACAGCAACTAGAAGGGATAACTCAGAACACAAGCAACAATAGGGCAACAAACAAAGGACCACAACAGAACAAAATAAGGCCTAAGGCTTAAACAGCAGAGACTTTCAGACACCCTTCCAACACAATAGACCACCAACTTGCAATCAACAACAATATCCTGCTGCACACCCTACTTATAAGCACAACAAACCTCACTCCAAAGATCAAGACCATCTCAACCTCTACCAATACATACTCTGATTTGATTAAGATAGAAAACAAAATCACTCATGGAGTAATGAAGATCTCTACAAGAGGCTTTGAACCATAAAGCAACTCTGATTTTTATAAGCTCACACAAATCCCAAGTTACAGGTTTGGCATCCCTAAATACACAATTATTCCTAAGTTTCCATATGGACCACAGAGTAGCAAGGGAAATAATTCTTCAAATCTTATTTTCATTTTTCTTCGTAGGCTGACCCTCCACCTGAGTAGTACTCCTTCAATAGAACCTGGGATGACCCATTCCACACCTCACCATCTTAATAAGGCTGACCACACTTCCCAAACAAAAGGGCAGTGCAATAATATATGAAGCACAGATTCAGGAACTTCATTCGGGCACTTTCTCTGCGTGCGGGAGTTTGAAGGGTGGTGGATCCGAAGTTGATTAGGATTGTCATTCGAGCGCTCCGTGCAAGTGAGAGTTTGAGGGGTGATTTCCGTTCATTTCTTGGTGGTCGGTGTTTGTGTTCGGTTAAGAGGAGTATGGCGCAGGGTCTACAAAGAGGGGACTGCTCAGCGTTTTGTTGGTGAGGATAATCAGAGGGAGCTGTTTGGGAGAGGAAAACCGTGGGGGAAGTAGCTTAGGAGGAGGCAGCAGCAGCAATAGAGGAGAAACCAGCAGTCCCGGCGGAGGTTGTAGTCGAGCGCAAGGAATTTGTTGTATCAAGAAGGAGAAACCAGCAGGTTTTGCAGTCTCAGGTGGTTCTCGGCAGTCACAGGTGTGTCCGGTCATGCGTGGGGTTTTCAAGAGTTTGGGGGCTCAAGAGCTGCTTGGGTCAGGTGTAGGGCACTCGAGGCTAGCGTGGGTTCTAGTTGTGTATCAGTGTTATAGGTGTGGGGCTTAAGATTTTGTTTTGTTGTTTTATTTGTCTTTTAAAATATAAAATTGTGAGGCTTAGGGGGTTGGTTGTAAAGACTCGAGTAGCAATAGTAGGAGACTGTTTTACTCTTCGAATCTCTCTCAATGCGTTCTTTTTTCCTTGTACCTTTAAATTTCATGTTTTTAATGAAACACTACAACATATAAGACTTTTGGCGACCAATTATTTTAGTCCCTAAAACTATTATTTTAGTCTCTAAATGGTTTTTGTGACAAAATTAATTTTGTCACTAAAAAAGTCACTAAAAGTGCGTCTAGAAAAGTCTTTAGCGACCAATTTTTGAAAATGTCCCCAAAAATGACAATTAGTGACCAATTTTATATTGTCACAAAATGTTTGATTTTACAAGACTAAACATTTGGTCACTAATACTTCGTCATAAAATGTCCCAATTTGGTCGCAAAAAACAAAATAATGACACTTTTAATGACTATGATATTTGGTCGCTAAAAGACATATAACTTTCTCAACAACACATTTTCGTCGCTAAAAATCAAAGTTAAATTTTGTAATTATTTAATCTCATAGTTAAAATGCACAAAATTAAATGTCATCCAATCATATTAAAAAAAATTTGACATCCACATATCAAACCCACTCTATTCCCAAACCATAATGAGTATATAGAAAGTAAATTTGACAAAAATTAAAACTAAAAGTTTCCAAATTCAGATCAAAGTAGTAACAGTTCAAATGAAGAATAGCAACAATACAATAGTTTCTACAAAGAAAATATCTAAAAAAGCATTTTCTCAACATCAATATCAGGCTTTATATCAGACAGGCTTGACACAAGAGGCTTCAAGCTGTACTTAGGTGTGACACCCTTTGGACATCCCTGCAACCCAAAATTCAAAAAAAAGAATCAAATAATAAGAATCAACACAACATAACCTCATTAAATAATCAAGAGTCATTCATAATCAAATAAGTTACAAATAATGAAAAAACACGTTATCTCAGTGTACTTGAAGTATTAGTGAGCTATAATAAGAATCAACACAACAAGAAAGTGAGTCACCTAGAATCAACACAATAAGGTTATCATAATCCAAGCACGTTATCATAATCAAATGTTCTAAATAACAAACACACTAAATTTATAACTATGACAGATCTATCTAGAGCAAAAAGTACTCACTATGATGGTAAATCAGAAGTAAAACCTCCCCAACTAATCTGTTGCAGCACCAAATCAAGCTTGGCATTGACCTCCACTCTATCAATTTTTTGTTATCAATTTTTTTCAGTGTTAAAAGATAAATGACTAATACTATATATTTTACAATAACGTATATCATATTACTATGAAAATGAACTACCTTCACACTAAAGATCAAATACAAAATTTAAGTAATACAAAAGAACTTCAAAAGTGAGAAAAATCTCAAATAAAGCAATATAAAATAAAATCTGAACACAAGTGCGAGTAATTGAAACAGTCACTAGTGAGGTTTCAAATCTTGTCAACTCCCTTTGTCATCCCAAAAGATAAGAAAATATATAGTTTGTACAAAAAAGAAACGAAAGAAAAAGAAAAAACACAAAAACAAAAACAAAAACAAAGTATGGTTAAACTAACATATGGGAAGGGATTATGTTATTCTTCAATGCAATTGTTTTGGACAAGAACAAGGAACAGACAAAGTATTGCTTTTGTAACATCTATCCGATATTCAGTGTGTACTTTCAAAAAGCTAACTCGAGCTTGTTAGGTAAAAAACTAAAGTTGATACTAGAAGATATGGAAGAAAAAAGTTATGGAATTTTGGTTGGGTTGTTGCCTTAGTGACATAACATTACTGTTTATGTTTTTATTCATTCTTAATCACTTGAATTATAAGATAAGCTCTCTGTACTAACATTTTTTTAATTTTTACTTCTGGCACAAAAATCCATGAGTTGCTAATATTAACTACACCAAACGCAACAGACGAAGCATAAACAAGAGTTGGTTTGCCTTTCATAAGCAAGTGTAGATGAATAACACTTGGAGTTCTCTTTGTTGGTGACCTTGGACAATGAATTTTGCAATACCTTTGGAAATTATATAACCTGGACCATGGGCCCATGGTGGGTATGACTGATGTGGCCATTCCTGCCAAGAGATCACTAATCAAATTAAATAAACAATATAATGAGGCTAATATGATCCTACATAAAACTGAAATCTAGTTAGATTGATACCTCAACACTGATATACCATTTGTTGTCTTTGTCAATATGGGGTGATGATTCAAATGATATAAGACTGTACAAGGGGCCATTAGAAACCTTTGGGTCTGCAAATTTGAAGGATTAATTATTAATAGGTGAGCCTCAAATAAAAGAATTGTGAGAAAAACTGAAGATTCATTGGAAATATATATATATATATATATTTAAAAAAGTAAGGGAAAAAAAAAAAAGGCCAAAGAATAGACCACGCTTTGGTTCCATGAATAAACCATGTTTTGACTAGCTACACATTCTTGAAAAGAATAGATAAAGAGGAAAAAATGGAAAGAAAGAGAAAGCAAAAAAAGCAAAACGAGTTAAGTTTTCTGTCCCCTCTAAAAAGTCCCCTGTTTTATGGTGCTACCAAATCCAAAACTATGTTTATATGCAATGCTAAAGATTGAGAACTGTGAAGATTAATGACAATATCAATTTAGTAATACTTTGGTGAGTGTGACCACAATTATGCTTGTATCAATAATCAAATAATTAAACTACAGCAGCAAGCTCTTTCTGCTCACCAAACAATCATCTACCTACCCCTAGAATGCAAATTGCGACTCTCTTTAAAGAGCTCGTTTGGGTTGAAAATGTGAAATCACTGGTAATTTTCAAGATGATTGTGCTCTCTCCACACTGACTAGAAATACAACTTGAGTAATTTTTAAGCTTCAATGATATTTCATGTTATATTAGAGTTTGGCATTACTTTTATTTATTTATTTATTTGGGGAAATCAGATCCTTGTCAAGGATCTTCACCTCTCCCCGAAGATGTTCCAGCCAACACAGAACCGGGAACATATATGGCCTAGTTCTTTTAACAAACCTGAGTTAAATTAAAATTTCACATCAAGAGGATTGAGAAATACCTAAAATTAAAATTCACATCAAAATGATGAAATAAACAAAAATCAAACAGAATGAGTTAAATGAATTTTATTAATTCGACATTAAAACTAATTTTTGGCTACACTCTGTATTAAAAACTCAATACTACTTGAAGGATCGAGAAATACCTTGATAGAGAGTGAATTAACCAATCGATGTCTTCAAAGTAGCAGAAATCTGCAAAAAATGAAGAAGAAGGTGAAGAATCAACCTATAGAAAAACTGCATCCATGACAATGTGCAGGCCAATCGAACAAAAATGTGAACTACTTATTGTGTTCTTCATAGATCTACAATATATATATATATATATACATATGTATATGTATAGGCAGAGATATATATATATATAGAGAGAGAGAGAGACGCACCAAATCTACAGAAAATGTGAAGAACAAGGTAGATCTACTGAAGATTGTAGATCTCAAACTGATCTGCAATGGAGCTCGAGATGGACAGAGCGAAGACCTACAATGAAGCTTGCGATGGAGCTTGACAAATAGAGAGAGAAGTTTTTACACATCGTGAAGCTTGGATACGGTTTTCAGTGTGTATTTGCATCAGGTGAGGTTTTGTAATTTTTCATTATTTGGTCCCTAAAAAATGCCAATAATATGTGTTGACCACCAAAATTATTGGTCTCAAAAAGTTACACAGCGTAACAGGAAATATCAAGAGTCATTTTGATAGTTTTATAAGTAAATTATCACAAGTTTAGTTTTGTCTCTAAAAGATTATTTTTAGGGACTAAATTTAATTAGTCCTTAAATATTAGTCTCTAAAAGACTAATTTCTTGTAGTGAAATTTTTTCTTTGCCGATCAAAAAAAAATATGAAGCACAGATTCTTCAGAATTCTTACAAAAACTACAAGCTATGGAAGAGGGGCTATTGAGAATATCAATTCTTTACAAAAATGCAGTAGTCTTCACTTTATGTTTCCAAGCAAGCCAGCCAAAAAATTGCACTTTAGGAGGCAAGACTAAACTCCACACCAGTTTACTCAACATGGGATGAGTGGCTCCATCCAAATAACTAAGATAATATAGAGAATAAACAGAGAAGGTACCTGAAATGTTAGCAGCCCACCTTGTGTAGTCGCTGACCTCCCTCCTAATTGAAGGACTAGATGACAGAATTGTTACAAGTCTCAACCATTCAAGCTTTTCCTATTCGAACATCTCCCTTCTAGGAAGCAAGTTCCATTCCCCTGAAGCTTCTTTCAGATCAAGAAACATTTTCAGAGTGCCTTCATTCTCCAAAAAGAGACTAAACAGTCTTGGGAACTCCACTTTCAGACAATAATTGCCACAACAGATGTTCTCCTAGAATTTTACCCTTTTCCCATTTCCAACTACCATCTTAAAGTTATTCAAGAAACATAACATCATAGAAGGATTATGATCATCCACAGTGACAATATCAGACCACACCCTTTAGTATCTGTAACTTATATCCCTTAATGGCAACCAGCTATTTACATCCATATCATATTTGCTACAAATTACTTTTCTCCATAATGACTTAGTCTCATTTGCAAATCTCCAACACCATTTGAACAATAAAGAAAAATTAACATCTCTAATCCTTCTAATTCCCAACCCACCTTGATCAAATCTCTTTGTTACTTCCTCCCATTTGGCTAAATGAATCTTTCTTCTTAGGTCAGAGCCTCCCCATAAGAATACTGCTTGAATTCTCTCCAATTCCTTAGCAACCCCTTCAGACATCTTGAACAAAGAAAGGTAATACACTAGCAAACTAGTTAGCACAGACTTAATTAGTGTCAACCTTTCTGCAAATGAGAGAAGTCTTCTTTTCCAACCTACCAGCTTAGCTTTTGTTTTATCGATAACTGGTTTTCAAGTTTTGCTCTTACTTGGTTTGGCCCCTAAAGGGAGCCCAAGATACTTAAATGGCAAGGCTTGAGTCTTACAGTTAAGTAAATTAGCAAAGTCAGCCAACATGACTTTCTCAATGCCCACCCCATAGACCACACTCTTATGGTAATTGATTTTTATGTCAGATACAAGCTCAAAGCACCTTAGGATCCTTTTAATAATACTAATTTCAGCCCCATTAGCTTTACAAAAAAAGATAGTTCAGCAAATTGAAGGTGAGACACCAACACCTCATTTGCTCCTATTTTCACACCTTTAACTAGCTCCAACTCCACTGCTTTTGATACAAGCACATTAAGACCTTCAACCATGATGTTGAATAGGAAATGAGAAAGTGAGTCATCCTGTTTAACCCTTTTTTGGGGATAGAACTCATCTGTTGGTAAGCCATTCACAAGGACAGATAACTTAGCTGTGGAGACACACTTCTTGATCCATGAGATCCACTTTATTCTAAAGCCAAAACTGGACAACATTGAAAAGAGAAACTCCCAATTCACTAAGTCATAGGCCTTCTCAAAATCAAGCTTAATAAACACACCCCTCTTTTTTAACTTTTTCCACCACTCCACTACTTTATTTGCAATCAAAGGCACCATCAAGGATATTTCTACCACTCATGAAAGCTGATTAAGTTCCACTAGTATCTTAGGCACAACAATTTTTAGCCTATTAGAGAGAACCTTAGCCAGAATCTTATACATTGAACCCACGAGACTAATAGGCCTATAATCTGCCAAGCCAACTGAGTTATCTTTTTTTGGGACCAAGGTAAAAGACCTATTCACTCCACTTACCAATTTGCCACTAGCATGAAATTCCTTCATAAATTGCATAATTGTAGCTCGACTTTTTGTGCTCTTTTTGGATACGATAGCTTTACAGTTCGAACTCTTGTGGTTCTGAATCTGATCTCACAAGTACAATGTGAAATAGAAAAACACAAAAGAGTCCAAATCTGGCAATTCTTTTGGAAAATCGATTTTGAATCAAAATGTCAAAAATAGACTATTTTGCCAGATACAGAGTCGTCACCTAAATATTTTTAGAAAATTTAGGAAACCCGAGACTCGTGCCAAAGGCCACTTATCCGTCATCACCAAAGTGTCTCAGCTCTAGAACTTAGGCACGAGAGGGAAATGTCATGAATTGAGCACCCCACTTACTCGATCAAAGATCGGCCTCTACTAATCATGATGTGATTCTTATTTACATTATATGCTCTTGTTCCAATTATTAGGCTATTGTTACTATGTGACGCACACAAGTATAGACTAATTTGCAAAAATTAGAACATTTGATTTCATATATGTTTTTTAAAATTGTTTTGAATATGTACCACCTGAAAAAGTGATCTCATATATACATTACTCAAATTATTCCAATTCAAGCAATTAGCCTTCATCCATAGACATTCAAGCAGATATAGCACTTAAGCAATTAGCCTCATGACAAGCATATTAGACATGGCAACAATCACACTCATGCAAATATGTTAAAGCAATAAAATGCTCACCTAGTACTCCGAGGAGAGCCAAAACAAGCAAAATAATTATAAAACATGTATGCCACTAATTAATGCAATATGACTAATGCAACACATGCAAGATGTAATTAATAGGCTCAGCTACTAATATACCATGTGAATGAATTTGATAGCATGCATTTTAAACACATATTCAACGAAGTAATAAACAGCAATGCTTTGTTAGAATGATGAATCGAGCCTAAGGCACGCAAGACAAATGAATGCTTTATACATGTAGAATGCTAAAAAAAAAATGATGTTCTACACTATCTATCGTAAGCGGATAAATAAAAAGGAGAAAGACGTGGAGTTGGAAAATATACACATTATTACAAGTTTTCCCTCACGCAAGAGGATCCGAATAAATGGACCAGCTAATTATTACCTAATTAACTAACTATTACAAACCAAATGAAATAAATTAACTATGCTAGCTAATTATTACAACACCACAAATTAACTAACTACTCTAACTAATTAATTAAGTACAACACGAAACTAACTAGCTATTCTAACTAAACTAACTAATTAGTTACAAGTCCGCTACTATAAGTACAACATACTACTATTATAACATTATTTTAACGGATCCCGAGAATCGAGGGATGGTTTATGCATGGATGTGGATTTCCACCCAAAAATGCTCTCCATTTTGCTACTGGAATGCTTTTGTTGCACAATTAGGAGATTGAACTGATTTTTTCACCTCAGTTTCTGCTCTGTTCTGCAAGAAATAGTACACTGCCTTGTTGGAAAAAGTGGCCGGGAGGCCAGAAGTAGTGGCCGGCCGGCCACTAATGTTGGATTTCTCCTGCTGCAACATAAAATAAACAGAACACAAATAGAGCCTTCTCAGGGAATGTTTGTCCACCCTATCTCTCTTTATTATCAAACAGCTCAAAGAAGAGGTAGGCTCGATTCGCCAGCCAAAGACGATGAACAAAGATGACCTGATCAGACAAACAGATAGGACAATTGAGTCGGAGATGGTTACGGCTGAACTTCAGGATGAAGTTGCCTACGTATCCCAAAGATAGGAATCAGGCCTTACGTAGTTCGGTTCAGGTTCACTCGAGTATTAATTCTCTCCTTTTATGCTCTAACTTTTGCCAAAGTTGCCCTTTAGGGTTTTCAACTTTAAGAGCTCAGTTTTTTTTGTTTCTAATTTTTCATACTCTAATTTTTGTCTAGGTTGCCCTTTCGAGTTTTCGGCCTAGTGAGCCTTTCAAGGGTAGTATTTCTTTAACTTGTCCATATTGATCGACTGTGAGAACTCTAGGCCATCTAGGTCTATAAGGATGATCGCCTCTCCTGACCAGATAGATTTGATAATGTAAAGACCAGTCCAATTGGATCTGAACTTGCCCCTAGGGTCATAGATGGGAGCTCGGTTGTCTTTCAGTACCATATCTCCTTTCTTGAGATTTTTGGACTTAACGTTCTTGTTAAAAGCCCTAGCAATTCTGCACTGGTAGCCCTAGACATGATACAATGCCTTTAGCCTCCTCTCGTCAAACAACATTAACTCCTCAAACCTGTTCTGTTGCTAGTCCGCCTCCGCTATCTGACACTCAGCCATAACTCACAGCAATGGCACTTCAATTTCAATTGGCAAAACAGCCTCCATCCCATATACCAGAGAATAAGGAGTTACCCCTGTAGATGTTCGGATTGACGTCCGGTAGCCCAAAAGTGCAAATGGCAATTTATCCGGCCAGTCCCTGAATGTTTCCACCATCTTTTGCAAGATGTTCTTAATATTCTAATTAGCAGCCTCGACAATTCTATTAGTTTGTAGTCTATCTATTGATGACTTGTGAAAAGCCACGTTGTATTTCTCAAGCAGATCCACTGCCTCTTTTTTGAAGTGTGAGCCATTATCTGATATGATCTCATTCGGAACTTTGTACTGGCAGATGATATTATCTTTGATAAATTTGGCCACATGCGATGCCTTCAACACTGCATAGGATTGAGCTTCTACCTACTTTGTGAAGTAATCAATCGCCACCAAAATGAACTCGTGTCCATTTGACCTCTTCAGCGAGACAGCACTGATAACGTCGATTTCCTAGACTGAAAAAGGCCATGGTGAAGTCATGTTATAGAGTTTTGATTGCGGGATATTTATGCGATTGGCATGAATTTGACATTTGTGGCATCGCCGCACAAAACCAATACAATCTTCTTCCATGGTTGACCAATAATAACATTGTCTCAGGATCTTCCAAGCTAACATCACACCATTCATATGCGCCCTGCATTCTCCGCCATGGATAGCCTCGATAAGGCACTTTGATTCCTCTTCCTCCACACACAGTTTATGCATTCCCAGATGACCTTTTTTATATAGTTTACCCCCGCAGATGATGAATTGG